AAGGTAAGAAAAATATATATTTTTAACTATATAATACTTTTATTAATGGATATTTCTGTGTCAGATTTATTTTTTTCCCTATATATAACTTTCAGCATAAGGAGCAGAGTTCAGCCCCTCACAGGTCGCTGATGATAATTCTCTGTGTGATTTTATCAGCTGAGAGAGCAGAGTGTATGTGTGTATGTGTGGAGGTTCCCTGTGTTCTCTCATAACTATCTGTGCTCTGGCAGCCCTGAGATATGTACAACTTGGCATTGACCCCTTCCAGGAGATATGTACAACATGGCAGTGACAGGAACCACATGGCAGTGGAGAAGAGGTTGAGGGGCACAACTTCTGAAGCTGCAAAAAGTTATAATTCTTTAATTAAAAAATATAACACAGGTTTTTAAAAAAAGAGAAACTCACTGAATATTCACTACATCCTGCAACCTGAGTCCATCTTTACAAACTATATTCAGAGACATAATTTCTAGTAGATTCAGAAGTTGCTCCCCTCTATCTCTCCTCCTCATTTTTGCTCATGAAAAATAAATTGTAATGCAAATTTTGATGTAGGATGCCACATGTCATGTATTTCTATGGATGTGTACTGATGTGAGTGCAGATTTATTAGTGTCATTTGGTTGCTATTGGAGATGGCAGTTAAAACAGGTGATATGGAGGCGACAGATCACTTTATCACAGCTGTCCATTGCTTTCCAAAAGTGATCCCCTGTGGATCACACCACCACATATGTAAATGAGCTCTGTGCTCATTATAAGCTTATGATTGTTCTTTGCAGAAATGGTCCTAATCGTATCAGTTTTATACGCATTGTGTTGCTGTGGACACGTTTCTGGAGTGTCACCATCTCATTAGCCAAAAGCAGGTCAATACTTCCCACTGAAATACTAATAAGTTTATGTTGATTATAATTGTTCTTCATTTTAAATATGGTATTGTTTTTTCCTGTCTTTTGCACTACAAATAAGATATGTGCAGTGTGCATAGGCATTCGTTCATATTTTTTTCAAACTATAGTCTGCCCCCTCCAACAGTCTGAGGGACAGTGAACTGGCCCCCTGTTTAAAAAGTTTGAGGACCCCTGCTCTAGAAGTACTCTTTGGAAGGAAAGTTAGGTTTCCATAGCCCCAATCCTAGTACACATAAGCATCTACTGGCAGACAGAAAACAGGATGGACTAGATTCCATAAACCATATGGCTATTAAAAAACTCAAAATACTCATAATCTAAAATCCAGCAAGGCTCCAACACTTACATGTAGCTTCACATTTCTAAACCAAGGCTTGGCAATGCAGAGTTCTTAATCTTATCCAGACTCAAAGATTTTCTCAGAGAGTCCTCCTCCTAAATACTGTGCTTTTGGAGCTCCGACATAAACATTCAGCTCTCTGTACTGGGACTACTAAGTTTTCTTTGCAGCTGGGAAATGCTCTGCATCACAGAGAATTTATTCCAGGTTAAATTTATTCCAGGTTGCAGCAGATATTGGGGCAGTCCTTGTAGACACGGTGCTCTGTCAGTGTGCTCTGTGAGGACGCTATACATGCTTGCTTGTGAAACAAAAAGCACAAAAAGGAAATACCCCAGAATGAGTTTTATTTGCATCCAAATTTAGTCTAGCTGGCAGAAGTGGACTTGCTGCCCCCTCCTTCCCATGGAAGCGACATACTTGGCGACATACGTATGTGAGGGGGTGTCACATGGAGATGGGTAGAGACCTGTTCTCCCCTGCAGAGGAAGGCAGAACGCGCTCCAATGGAGCAAAGCTCAGGGAGCCAAGGTTTCGTTTGGATGCCAGGAAGCACTTCCTGACAGTCAGGACCCCGAGGGTGTGGAATGGGCTTCCACGAGAGGTCGTTGAGGCCCCATCAGTGCGGGTGTTCAAGGATAGGCTGGACATGCACATGGTGGGCATATCGTGAGCGGAGCCGGCTGGAGCCAGGGGTCAGACTAGATGGCCCGGGAGGCCCCTTCTGACTCACTCTGTTTCTATGTTTATGTTTCTATGAAGCCCCTCCAGCCCCCTGAAAATGCTGCACAGTGACCCTGTGAAGGAGGCGAGTGATGTATGTGTTGAGAAGAATTTTCAAAAATCAGGCAGATTCTTCTGTGAACAGAGCCCTTCCTCTCAAGGAAGGCACTTCCTGGATCCAACCCACATTAAAGAACATTGAGTAAAACATGTAACCACTCAATCAGAAAGGGCGTTGTAAACAAAGTACTGTTGCAAAGTAGTATTTTGTAAAAACAAATAATCTACAGATACGATCTTTATCATATTCACATTTAAAGAACTTTTTCACATTTTCTTCCCCTGTTACAAGTTTCAAGGGCGGCCGTGATAAGGATCTAAAACAGAGATGACAAAGCAAATTGCTGCATCTTTACAGTCCGTTTTGTGCTGAAAGAAATCTGAAAGAGATACTGATGTTATTGAAAAGAAACATACAGGGACAGGGACAGTAGAAGAAAACCCAGTCCCATTACAGCCCTGGCATCCAAGGTGAGACCTGGGTCAATGGCCTGAACTGTGGCAGAACTACGCCTTTGCTGTAGCTTCACAGGCTACTGCCTGAGGAGTCTACAACCAGGTTCCTGGTCTCTTCTAAGGCAAGTTTCTCCTCATCTAGTGGAACCAGGCTCTCTTAAGATGAAGAGGACTGAATGCTACAGATGGAGTAGGCCAAGAATTTCAGAACAAAAATTGGAGAGGAGGCACTGGGATGACAGAGAAGGGTGTGTCCTTTCCTTACTGCTGCTGGTACTCTGGCAAAAGGAATTGCCACAATAGCACTTTTATGCAGCCTACAGGATACATTTGGCCCCTGCCACCTCTGAATTTCGTTTAAAAATGGCATCCATAGTGGTTATAGCCTATCAAAAATATCAAATGTAGATTACAAACATGCTAATTTTGACCTTTTTGGTGCCCCGCAGTCATTATGACACAATTTTTAAAAATTCTATTTTAGGAGGTGGATGGCCACTGGACCTCCCACCTCTGCTTTAGAGATAGCAGCATTTGGTGGGTTTAAAAAATACTTCAAAAATATGGATTGTTCATTAAAAAAAGGAAATTATGGCAACCATCTATATTTAATGTTTAGAAATCTGAAATCTGTAGAAATCTGAAATACATCGACAAGAGTCCTGCAACTGACTTTAGTGATAATAGAAAGTTTCTATTAACCAAAAAACCTAAGACTTGACCTGAGAACAGTGACACTGATAAAGTCTCTCCTCCACTGAGTTACCTGTGTTCTCAGATGATCCACCGAGCAAATAATGGCAAAACTGTCAAACTAAATAAATGAAATCTGCCCCAAATATATTTCTGATGTGTTTATCCCCCTGTAAAATAATTGTGGGGCCATTCACATTCCTTTTGTTAGCTTTTCAGAGGAGAGATAATTCTTGGGTGTGTTATTGGTTTGAAGCTTCTGCTCAGAGTAATAAACTGAACTTCCCTATGACCTGGGATTGCAGGTTGTACACCCCTGTTCTAATCCCACAAAGGCAATACTTAACATTGGGTTGGATCCAGGATCTGCCTTCCATTGACAGAAACGCTCTGCTCACTGAAGATGCATCTGCCCAATTTTTCAGTTTCTGGACAGACACTTCACTCCATTCAGCAGGGATCCCAACCTTCTGCATAGCATTTTCAGGGTGCTGGGAAGGCTGCTGTAAGGCCAGTAAGTATGTTTCTGCCAACCCAGTTGCATACACTTAAATCTGGATCCAATCCATAGAATAATTATTATAACTGAACTAGCTTTCTACCAGCTTAACTATCTGGTCTAGCTTTCAAAGTATGAGCTGAAGGATCCATGCTTGTAAGCTGTAAGAAACAGAGAGCCAGTGTGGTGTAGTGGTTAAGAGCATGGGACTGGGACTCAGGCGACCTGGGTTCTAGTCCCCGCTCGGCCATGGAGCCAACTGGGTGACTTTGGGCCAGTCACAGACTCTCAGCCCAACCTACTCACAGGGTTGTTGTTGTGGGGATAAGATGCAGGAGGAGATGTAAGCTGCCTTGAGCCCCTTTGTAGGAAAAAGGTAGGATATAAATTGAAAAATAAAAAAAAAATAAAAAAATAAAATAAAAACACTTTCCTGAATAATCATGATAACATCAACTAATGTGACAGATGGCCAGTGTCTGGACAAGGACCAGCATCAAGGTGAAGAATTAGCTTGGGTTATTGTAAGCAAATTGGTACAGCAAGCTCTTTAGTGTACATCTGCCTTGTCAAAGGGATAACTGTAAGAAGTCGCAGTAGAAGTTAGTGAATCTCTATTTTTCTAAGTAAGAGCTATGGAAGATCATGGCTGAGCTGCTGAGCTCTGTTCCATAGAAAACAAAGCATTCAACTGCTAGCAAACACCCTAGTAAAAATTACAGCCATTATTTTACTGGATTATAAGCTCAACAGAGTATGGCATTGATTCAATAAGAAACATACATTGCAGAAAGATCACATAATGAGCTAGATAATGTACCCATGGTCCATTAGGCGTGTTGTCCTGTTGGGGAGAAATGTAAGTTAGATATTTGCTTTTTCTCACTACTTGGTCTTTGTCTAAAGAGAACTCGATAGGTGGTTACCATTTGGAAAACAATAGGCTGAATTTAGTCACACTTGGAGGAAAGCCAACAAAATCAATGGTGCTTAAGTTAGTCATGATTAACTGTGGTCCCATTGGTTTCAATGGGTTTGGGTTAGGGTTCTGCATTGTGCAACCAGCTGCACATTGTACTTTCCTAATCCATTCTGCAACTGGTTGTCCAAGCATAGTGCACAACCACTTGCATACCAAGTGGAGTTCTGCTGGTGTATTTGAGGTTGGGGATGACACCACTGGATATTGCCCAACAAATCTACACTTCCTTTGTTTCTACCAGCAAAATTTGAGGATGAAATTATGCCCCACTGAATGAGTGCAATGAATGAGAGAACAACAGAGTTCCTATATTTTGCCGTCAGAAGACTAAAGAGATTATTTAATCAGTTTTATAAATCAAAATATTGTTTGCCAAAATGACTCAATAGAGTAGATATTAACAATTTCAATGGGTAGTAGTTTGAATTTATCACCTGCGAAATACTGACCAGCCGTATTTCATAGCTGAGGCAATCTTCTAGAAGTGTTTGTTTGTGCATTGCTCTGTGGAGTGTAACTAAACGGAAGCCCACACGGAAGCCCAATTTCTGATGTTAACTGCAAAACATAATACTATTTAACAATACATCAATATAACCTTAAATGTTCCTTTGACTTCCAGTTAGAGGCACTACAAACATCAATATTGCAACCAACAGTGTCATTTTCAAGCTGACATCCATAGTAAGCTCCATGATTCTTTCTCTTACTGTTACCCTCAATGGCTTAAATGATGCATGGTTTACATTTGGGAGACTGGGGAGTGTTTTTTTCCCAATTAAACTGTTGCTTTTGTTCACAAATGTGGGGAGAGGGGAATAAATTTATTTACTTTTTCCAGGATGGTACCTTTACAAACCTCCCCCATAGCAATTTAATGAAGATTAATTTATTGGAGTGTCTGTCCACTTTTAAGACTTTGTTCAATAATAAATAATCTAATTTAACAACTGTATTTTTCTTAGAAAAGCTACCAGCACATGTCACCTTAACTGAAACACCACCATTCTCAAGAGAAAAGGTTTGATGCTACAGCCAAAACAGCAAGACAGAGAAGTAGACATAAAGGAATGTTTGCAATTTGCTACCAGTACAGATGAAGGGTGGCGATAGAGCCCTTGGATGTGGTTTCTTGCATTTCTTGCAAAATGCTTTGCTGCTTCCTTTTCACTGCCATAAAGCATGAGGAATGTAATGAAGTGGTGCATCCTTGCAAGAGTCTCAGTAGATGTCAAAACTGGTTCCAATCCCTAGCTGGTGTAGTCTTTTAGGTATTGAGAGGACTGGTAAACAGGAGAGGCTCAGTTAGCTCACCCTTGCAGGTATACCTTAGCTTGTTCAATCTTCAACTTTACTTGCTTCCTTGTACTTTCTGATCGTATGTGCCAGCATGCTTATACCCAGAGACATAGCCAGATGTGTCAACCAGATCTTCACGTCCAGCTTTGCCTTTGCCTTTCCCAGTTGGATCAAACCTCTCTTTGTGAGAACCAGTGAAACGTGTTGTGTCTGTAAGCCGTGAGACAGTTGGAGATGAAATGGCTTTCTAGTAACAAAAGTGGTGGTGAGGGATGAGGAAGTGGAAAAGAAGGAAGAAAAAGTGAACATTAATATTGCAAAGAGCATAATAAATACATCAACTCAATGGTTATAAAATGTCAAAATATCAAGGATGCCAATTTTGGTTTGTGTGTTCTTTGCAAGGCACCAAAAAGGGCGCATCTGTGAGTTCTGGCTACTTTATGTAAGGGAGGCCTATCTCCATTAAAAAAAATACATATGCCCCAGAGGCCTAACAATCTAAAAATAAACACAAGTGGTTGAATCCAGATGCAGTCATTCTTAAAGCAAACTCATTCAAATTAGTTATGACTAACCTCATGGGCTGAAGGTTAGTCATAACTAATTTATCCACTGGATGGATCTACTCTAAGCCTGGAATAATTGCAAAGAAAACAGAGGAAATGGCAGGGAAACAGGAAGAAGAGCAAACAAGGAAGGAATATATGATTATTTCAATTACATTTAGTTGGAATTAATTACAATAGGGCTATTATTTATTTAAATAGGCAGGGCTCCCACCATTTTGCCCAGTTCTCTTCTGACCACCATTTGAGTGCTTTTTTCCTTTGCTTTGCTTCTCAAGATACCCAGCTTCTCCAACTTTCTATTTTAGCTACCTTAAACTGATTTCTTGAATCCTTTACTTCATATTTCACCTCCTGTTTTCTTTAAGTGCTTACTTTAGATACTTCCCCCACTTCCCTTCAGTTTTATTACCTGCTCAAAGAAAGAAAGAAAGAAAGAAAGAAAGAAAGAAAGAAAGAAAGAAAGCCCCTTCTTTCATCTCTCTTGCCTCAACTACCCTTTTTTCTCAATTCCTTTTCTTCCTTGATGACGCTCAAGGTGGCATTCTGAAAATGTGTTCATTGTAACATAATTGCCACCTTCAGATGGACACTCTTTGTATCTATTTTGCCTTGGTGATGAACACCAAGTGGACTCCTGCCAGTCTTTTACCAAGCAAGCCAGGAAGAACTGGGCAGGCCATTTGAACATGGAAATGTGGATCTTGGCTCTTGTGGTGATGGAAACCATCACCAGTGACCCACAGGAATGTCCTTCCACATCCTGCACAGAGGCCTGGCCTCATGCTCCATCAGCGACTGCAAGAGCTTCACCAACCACTCCATCAGCGCTTGGAAAATCAAGGTGGCTGAGGAGCTGAAAAAGACTTTGTCAGGAGGCAAAGGAAATCCCACAAAAGGCAGGCACCACTCTCCAATCACTACAGTGCATGCCCATTTGCCTTTCCCACCAGCAACCTACCCTGGCCTCACAACCAACCTGTGCCTCCCCTGCTGCTGCATTCATTCCTATATTGGTCCCACTGGTGGGCTCAGAAGGACACTCTGAACCAACTGCAGTGCCATCTTTCTCCAAAGGAGAGATACGGGACACACCACCCCATTCTTTACCCATTTGGTTGGCACACCACATTGGGACAGAAGACAGCTTCTCCAAAGCTGCTTGAGCTTTATGAGACCATTTTGCCAGCACCATCACCAGCCTTCACCTGTCAACCCTTAACACCGACCTGGGACTGAGAAATATACTGGCAACACCACCTCTTCTATTCCCACAATGCTACTATACAGAATGCCCCTAGGAACAAGGACCACCAGGACCATATTGTTACCTGTGGCCATGAACCACTTCCCACTTGCAGGAACCATGGACACCAATGCCACCAATCCATCCACCCATCTCCACCAAACCATCACCAGCCTGACGCCACCAGGAAGCCACAACTGTTCAACAGCCTACATCACCACAAACAACTTCCTCATAAGAACCAGCCCACTACACCTGAATCTGACATGCCACCAACCTATGACAACCCAGTCTCAACTTCACCAGAAGACATTTTGGCACAAGGTCTAGGATCCCTCTTCAAAGACCTGGGAAGGTTCTTGGAACAGGTCCTCTGAATGGCAACATCCCTCAGTAATCTCAACAGCTGACTAAATCAACACTAGATCTAGTCTATGATGTTGTCTAGACATAGGATTCTTCTGGCAAAAAATGGGTGCTCTAGCTGAGTTTCTCCTTGAACAACATCAAGAGTTCACTAGGTTATTCCAGGCAGAGATGCTTTAGTTGTCCAAGCAAGAGATTAATACTGCTTGTCACCATGTCAACTGAGACTCCACAGCACTGGCATGGTGGTGATCCAGAGATATGCGTGGCTTCTGTCCCAAGAAGCAAAGTCCCGCATTGAAGACATGCCTTTTGATGGGGAAGGGCTCTTTAACACAAGGATCAATGAGAAACTTGACGCCATCCAGAAAGCACAGGTAATGACCAAATGAATGGGCTTCAGACCATTGCAACCAGCCAGAGCACGTAAGTGGTCATGGGGTCCATTGACACCCTACAAACCTATCAGAGCAGGTGTCAATTCAACATCCATATGCACCAACAATAACAACAGTTGGCCTGCCAACACCACTGAGAAGCACCATGCTTCCAACAATTCACCAAGAAAAAGCTAAACACTGAGAAAAGGCACCATTGACTTTTAGTTCAAATGAGTCATTTGAGGACTGTCTTAAAAACTATCTTCCCAAATGGGAAGCCATTACATTGAATGAGTAAGTATAACGCTTAATACAATGGATACTGCATCAAGTTGGACACCCTACCACCACTCAAGACAGTCTACACTATTCCTCCCTCTGCCCTGAGCCTTGACTGAGGAAGTTAATTCCTTTCTATCAAAGGGAGTGATCCATCCCATTTGTCCACCTAACAGTATGGTTTCTATTCAAGATATTTAATTGCCCTGAAGAAAGATGGCGGCCTCTATCCAATCTTAGACCTATGGAATATCAACTACTTTATCCCCAACAAAAAAATCTGAATGATCTCCCTACAAAACATTCTTCTATTGCTATGCCAAGGGGACTGGTTCACAACACTGTAGATTTGAAGGATGCATACTTCCATATACTGAATCTAGATCAGCAGATTCCAAATTGGCACCATGGCCTATGGATTTTGAATTCTACCATTTGGACTTTCTACAGCCCCAAGAGCATTCACAAAATGTATGGCAGTCATCTGTGCCCATCTAAGATTGCAGGATGTCCAAAACTTCCCCTAACTGGTGGATTGGCTATTAGTCGCTCCATCCCAGGAGGACCTCCTGTGTTCCATATGAAAGACATGCGAGCTACTCCATAAACTGGTATTCTATATTAACAATGAAAAATCTGTCCTTGTTCCTTCCCAGGTTATCCTATACATTGGAGCTTGGCTGGACTCCATCTTGGCACATATCTAACTCTCACTTGACAGCATGTGGAAAGCTCTCCAAGACAGCCCTCCACCTCCAGTCCAAATCAACAGTGACCATTCAGAGAATACAACGAACTCTTGGGCATATGGCCTCTATGATAGTGGTTGTTCAGTTCACAAGGTTACACATACAACAATTTCAACTGTGGTGCGTACAGGCATTTTGCCCACGCTGTGACTCAACCTGGAAAATTTTGGAGCTCCCCTGTTCTGTATGAACAAGCCTGTCATGGTGGACTGACAAAAGAAACCTAACAAACTGAGTCACCTTCATGCTGCCAAATCCTTCCTTGACCATAGCAACAGATGCATGGGCTGGGGAGTTCATTGTAAAAACAACAAAATGCAAGGTCTATGAACTAAATGGCACCAAAGAAAACATCAACTACCTCATTCCTAGAAGACCAGAAGGCCTTAATTTCCTTTCAACATCTCCTCATAGGCAGATATATACAAATAGCCTCAGACAACAAAGCTAAACAAACAAGTTGGCACCAAGTCAGTCATGCTTTCTTGCCTCATGGTCTGGATATGGGACTGGTGCATTCAAAGGGACATTACACTGATAGTTATTCACCTAGCTGGCACTTGAAACACCACAGCAGATGCTCTCAGCAGAACACCATACCAGACTCATGAGTGGGACTCCACTGAGATGTTTAGAAGAATATCTTTGCCACCTGGGATAAATGTAGATATATTCACAACACAAAACCATACGGCATGTGAAGCCTTCTGCTTCTGGTGGGAATCAGCCAGAACTCACTTGGTTATGTATTTTTCCAGTTCTGTTCCCTCCATTCCCACTGATTACCAAGATACTTGCCAAAATCCAGTGGGAGAAAAAGAACTGCATTCTACAGAGTACTCCCATGGTGGCCCATACTAGCTTGGTTTGCACACCTCCTCCAATTGTTGAACCAAACCATTCTCCACCTACTGAACGGACCAGACAGTATTTCACAAAACCGGGGCAACATTCTTCATCCTGACATGAGAACACTTCATCTGATAGCCTGGGGGATCAGCAGGTGAGACAGCACACTGAACTTGATCCATAAATTCAATTAGTACTACAGGCAGCACTGTGATTGAAGACAAGACACTCATACACAACAAAATGAAACACATTCAAAGTCTGTACTCAGGAACAGCCCTATGATCCATTCCAAGCACCAATCCACAAAATCCTGACCTTCCTCCATGCCCTCTATGTCAAAGGACTAAAACCTTCATCTATCAAGATGTCTGTGATTCTGCTGACAGTTCCTGTGTTTTCTCATCCACTCTCCCAATGGTTTATACAACCTAAATCTACCTGTCCGATCTTAGCTGGAGCCTATCATTCTACAGGCTGTAACAAAACCATCATCTGAATCATTCGCCACTGCAATGACTCCTTTTCTAGAAAGTCACCTTTCTAGTGGCCATCACTTCAGCCTGGAGAGAGAGCAAATTATGCACTTTATGGATAGACCCTCCATTTCTCACCTTTCACAAGGACAAGGCAATCCTGAAACTAGATCAAACATTTCTACAGAAAGTCACCTCACATTTCCATTTAGATTGAGACATAGCTCTATCAGTCTTCTTTTCATCTCCATCTACACCTATTGAGATGGCACTATACAACATTGTGCTGAAGAAAACTCCTGTGAGTCCCTTGGACTGCAAGGAGATCAAACC